AAATAATGCAGTTGTGAACCCCAAGAATGGCCTGTGGCTTTCTGCTCACCAGTTCAGCACTGGGTACAGTGGTGTGAGAACTGAGGGCTACAAAGAATTTATCTTCAGATAAGCGGTGTACATTTGGGGTGTTTTTTGTTTTTGAGGCTGAATTGTTCCTGAGCTCAAAATCTTCAATTTTAAGCCAAATATCCTGTTATTCATTCCTGGGAACTGGGCACTAAGTCAACATTTACACTTCTAGTAGAAATGGCAAGAACTCACACGAGAACACCATCCAGCAATGAAACTGGCATTTGGTTTAGGGGAAATGTCAAGGCAGAACCCCTGAGTTGTGAGATAGAGGAGCAGTGGGCGAATAAGAGCTGTGTGAGACACGAGGGTTTTATCAGAACTGAAACATCAGCAGAAGCTCCACCACAGCCCCTCCGACGTCTGCATGCGTTAAAAATAAGGAATAAAATCGGATACTCGCAAGCAGAAAGAAAAAAATGCTGAATTACACAGAAAAAACAGCTGCTGTAGTAGGAAGCTGATTCTGAACTTCTTTACTCATCAGCTAAAGAAAGGGAATGGCTGAGGACAGCGTCGGCTCTAACACAAGCCCTGTAGCATTCCAGGAGCAGAACTTCCAAGAGATTTCTAAAAACAGAATCAGAACTATTCCTTTTCAGATAAAGTTAGCTCATATTCACCAAATTTATCCACTGTAAAGCAAGCTGGATGTTTGCGAAGGCTGTTGAAATCCCTAAGAATTCTTGCTTGAAAGCCCATCTTTAAAAAGAAGAGGTTGTTTTAGAAATAAAACCCTCTGGGATGTGTAAAGGTGGTTCTTTAAACATCACCACTGCCATTTCAGCTGGAATCCTGGGTTTTGAGCTTTTCCTCCTTGCACCAATTCATGTCACCAAAGGCTTGCTTAGCTGATAATTATCCGTAGAAACGTTCCTGCTCGAAGCAGCCGGAGCACAGCAGAGTTTGGTGAATTCCCAGGAGCAGAATCCAGCCCCGACTCCCACACACGCTTGGTTTGCCTCGAAAAGCTGCGCCTGGTCCTCCCCCCACTTGGTCAGCATGACTAACACTCACAGGGAACTCGGTGCACAGCTCCTGCCAGGCCCTTCCACATTCCAGCTATTTCACAACCGAGGAAATGCTCCGAGAGACCCATCCGAGCTCCTCGGACCATTTACACCGAGGGGTTCGACTTTAAACAGGATTTACATGACAAACACAAAGCCGTTCTGAGGGGAGGGCGGCTCTGCTTGAGCCATTTCAATTCCTGATGCTCCATCACAGGAAGCACCAACAAACTTGGCAAAGCTGCGGGGTTGGAGCTGCAGAGGTTCAATCGAGGTGAGTTTCCTCACCCTTTCACCCAATGCAATTATTCCAACAGGGAGAGCAGCCCAACAGGGCCTCCAGCACTGCGGATATATTTGTAGCAGAGAAAAATCAGTGGCATCAAACCACCCCCAAAAACTTTCCTTTCGGAGAACTCCTTTATCCATAAGGCTGTGCTCCTATTTAATTCCATTACAAACCCCATGAATAAAAGCAAAATAGCAATCCTCCACTTCAGCCACACTTCCCTTTTTTTTCCCCCCTAGAAGCGCTCCAAATCAGCAGCAAAAATAGCAATAAAGACTGCTGAATGACCTTGGAAAAATCCACTTTGCCTCGGTTTCTCTGCCTGGAAAATAAGGTCAATGGAATACCCTGCAAAGGGGTGCTGCAAGCCTCGCAAGACAAAGCTCAAAGTATTACATAAATACTTGGAATTTTAGTTATTGACAAAGCTACAATTTCAACACCAGACCTCTAGTCGCGACTCTAATCAACCTGTGGAATTTGCTTTGGCAGGAGCAGAGCAGCAAAGCCACAAACAAGGTCAATGTCAAACACGACAACATTTGGGGCAGTTTTATGGCCCGGCAGAGTCTCGGTCTCGCTGTGCTGGGGCAGAGCCGGGCTATCACTTCATCACACCGAGCTTTATCAGCCCCGAAGTATCACGTTCGCCTCGCACCACGGAGTATTTTCAGACAGAATATAATATCCTCCCACCGGGAGCTGCTCCGCCAAGGAAAGCTGATCTCCCACACCACCAAACCCAAGGCGATAGGCGGCAAAAAAGAATTGTTTGCTCCACGATAAAGCTCTGCCCAGCAAGAAAAAACACCAACTCAGCAGCCAAGGGCTTAGGGAGAAACAACCTCTGCCCTGCGAGCTCCATCCCAGCCTCATTCCCGCACCCCACGAGGGTTTTGGGGGGGAGAGGAGGAGGAGGAGGAGGAAATGCCTCTCCTTGCTCGGAGCCGTCCGCGGGCGGGGCAGAGGCCGGAATGAGCGAGTTTGGGGAAGGGAGGACAAACCCATCCCGTCTAATGCCATCGCTAGAGGGAGCGGAGCGGGGCCTTGTGCAGCTGCTGCCGAGCTGCGGCGATTCCCCTCGGCCAGCCCTGCCTCTCCCTCCCCATCCCACCCACGAGCGGGGAAGCCAAAGGCCCGACCCCCCCACAAAGACGTGGAAAGGGCGGACGGGTGGAGCAGCGCCGCTCCCGGAGAGCTCTGGGTCTGTGGGAGAAAAGGAATGAGTAGGGATAAGGTGGCGTGAGAGAAGGAATTAAAAGCAATGGGAAGGAACGAGCAGGAAAGCACCGCCCGGCCCCGCTGCCTCAGCGCCAAGGCCGCGGGATGCGGGGCGGGGGCGCGGCGCGGCGAGCCGGAGAGGGGGCGGGAGGGGGAAGGAAACGAAAAGGCTGGAAAGGAGGGAAGAAGAAGGTGTCGGCAAACGCACCGGCGCGGTCGGGAGGCGCGGGCCGTGGGTCTGGCAGCGCTCGGAGGGTCCCGCTCGGAGCCCGCTGGCCGCGATCCGCCCTGGAGCACAAGATGGCGGCGCGCTGCGGCCACGTCAGTGCCCGCCCCGCGCGCGGCGCCACGGGCAGGCCGGGCGCGAGCGGGGGGCGTGGCCTGCGCCGGGGGGGCGTGGCCACGGCGGGGCGCCGCAGGGCCGGCGCGAGGGGGCGTGGCGTAGAGGCGCAATGGGCGTGGCCACGGCGGGAGCGAGGCTCTGTGGGGATGGGGGCGTGGCCTGGGAGTGGGCGTGGTCATGGTGGGAGTGACGGTATCAGGAGGGGGCGGGGCCTGGGTTGGCCACGCCCACTCCGCAGCGCGGGGCCGGGATCCCCCGGGAATGGGATGGGATAACGGGATAACGGGGTGATGGGATAACGGGATAACGGGATAACGGGGTGATGGGATAACGGGATACCGGGATAACGGGGTGATGGGATAACGGGGTGATGGGATAACGGGATAACGGGATAACGGGGTGATGGGATAACGGGATAACGGGGTGATGGGATAACGGGGTGATGGGATAACGGGATAACGGGGTGATGGGATAACGGGATAACGAGGTAACGGGGTGATGGGATAACGGGATGACGGGATAACGGGATGATAACAGGGTGGGACGGGGCTCGTGGGGACCGAGCCTGCCCTTCCCGCTCAGCTCCCCTTTCCCTGCACTGTGCCCTCCCCTTTCCGTGCGCCGTTCTCCTCCCGCGCCGTTCCCGCTTCCCTTCACGGTTCTTTTCCCGTTCCCCGTTCCCCCTTCCCTGCAGCGTTCCTTCACCTTCTCTACACCATTCCTTCCCTCTTCCCTGCACTGTTCCCCCTTCCCTTCATAGTTCCCCCTTTCCCTGCTCTGTTCCCGCTTCCCTTTACCATTCCTTACCTGTTCCCTGCACTTCTAATCATTCCCCCTTTCTCTTCACCATTTCCTTTTCCCTGCACCATTCCCCCTTTCCATGCACCATTCCCCATTTTCCCTGAACCATTCCCCCTTTTTCCTGGACCCCTTTTCCCTGCACCATTCCCCCTTTCCCTACATCATTTCCATTTCCCTGCACCATTCCCCCTTTCCCTTCACCATTCCCCATTTTCCTGCACCATTCCCTTTTCCCTGCACCATTCCCCTTTTCCCTGCACCATTCCCCTTTTCCCTGCACCATTCCCCTTTTCCCTGCACCATTCCCCTTTCCCTGCACCATTCCCTTTTTCCTGCACCATTCCCCTTTTTCCCTGCACCATTCCCCCTTTTCCCTGCACCATTCCCTTTTCCCTGCACCATTCCCCCTTTCCCTGCACCATTCCCCCTTTCCCTGCACCATTCCCCTTTTCCCTGCACCATTCCCCTTTCCCTGCACCATTCCCTTTTTCCTGCACCATTGCCTTTTTCCCTGCACCATTCCCCCTTTTCCCTGCACCATTCCCTTTTCCCTGCACCATTCCCCCTCTTTCCTGGACCCCTTTTCCCTGCACTATTCCCCCTTTCCCTGCACTATTCCCCCTTTCCCTGCACTATTCCCCCTTTCCCTGCACCATTCCCTTTTCCCTGTACCATTCCCCCTTTCTCTGCACCGTTCCCTTTTTCCTGTACCATTTCCCATTTTCTTGCACCATTCCCCCTTTCCCTACACCATTCCCCCTTTCCCTACATCATTTCCTTTTCCCTGCACCATTCCCTTTTCCCTGTACCATTCCCCTTTTTCCTGCACCATTTCCCCTTTCCCTGCACCATTCCCCCTTTTTCCTGCACCATTCCCTTTTCCCTGCACCATTCCCCCTTTCCCTGCACCATTCACCCTTTCCCTTCACCATTCCCTTTTCCCTGCACCATTCCCCCTTTTCCCTGCACCATTCCCCCTTTTTCCTGCACCATTCCCCTTTCCCTGCACCATTCCCCCTTTCCCTGCACCATTCCCTTTTCCCTGCACCATTCCCCCTTTTCCCTGCACCATTCCCCCTTTTCCCTGCACCATTCCCCTTTCCCTTCACCATTCCCTCTCCCCTGCACCATTCCCTTTTCCCTGCACCATTCCCCTTTCCCTTCACCATTCCCTCTTCCCTGCACCATTCCCTTTTCCCTGCACCATTTCCCCTTTCCCTGCACTATTCCCTTTCCCCTGCACCATTCCCTTTCCCCTGCACCATTCCCTTTTTCCTGCACCGTTCCCCATTCCCAAAGCAGCCCACGATCCTCTCTGAGCTCCAGCTTCTCTGTACCTCAGTTTCCCCCACAGAGGGAAAATTCCTTTAAATTTTTTTTTTTACCTCAGCAAATAATTTTCCTTATTTAAACTAGTATTAATTTGTTTATTACACAGCACAGAGGGAACAGGTCAGCACAGCAGGATCTTAACTCCACGTGGAAATAGAATAATGCACATGGTCCCAAAGCTCAAGAGGTGGGTGTAGAAACAACTGTGCACAAAAAAATTCAGGCTTATCTCCTTTCTGTTTTGGGTTAACTTTGAGATAAATCGAGGTCCTGTGCTGTCCCAGGCTAAATACTAAATACTTCCTTTGTTAACGAGAAGTTTTGAAACAGAGCAGGAAGCCACCAAAACTGCTTATTTCTAGATTTCCCCTCGATGCTCATAGGAGATAAGTACCTCAAAGTCCTCCATCCTCTGTTGGAATCACCCAGCATTACACAGAGAAGGCAGACAGGCAGATGGGCGTGAGCCCAAAAGCTTCTTTTCCTAAAAAAATTGGGTCACACGCAAAAGAAATGGCAGCAACAGGGCTGAGAAATGCCAGGAGGGAGTCTGGGCAGGAGGGAAGATCATCCCTGTGCTTCTTCCAGGGAGGCACCACCCCCATGCAGAGCAGGTTTAAATTCATATTATTATTTTGCTTAAGAAAGCCCCTAAATTGCATTAAATCTCCCCAGACGGTCACTCAGCAGCAGCAGCACTGATGGGCTAAGAAAGTGATGGCAAGGACACGCTGAAAATTCAAATTAATCCTGTTTTCCTGCACTGTGGAAGCTGGGCTGGCTGACATGGGGGGTTTCAGGGAGAGGAGAATGCTCCAGGGGACAGATTGCTGCCCAGGCATGGACAGCTCCCACTGGGATCACAGATGTCCCTGTCCCCTGCCTTTGTGACCTGTTTGGGACACAGCAGCCTCCAGGACCTGGTTTGAAAGAGTCTGAGTTGAACCAAAAATACCAAGTGAGATTTAAAGAGAATAAAGAGACTTTGCACTTGCTCAAGGCTTCTGGGGAGAATCTGCCTCTGTCCTTGCTGGATATTTTGGGTGAGCCCTGGGGCAGGAGCTGAGCTGGGTGTTTCTGTGTGTCTGTGACAACAGGAAGGTGCTTTTTCAGCAGAAAAAACCTGAATTTCTCCCCATCCCCAAATCCCCTCCTGGCCCCAGCTGAGCCAAGCAGCCCTTGTTTCACAGCTCTGTCTCCATGCCCGGGCAGTGAACCAGATCAGGGCTGCTCTGAGTTAAAAATAACCCTCCTCTCCTTTTCTTTTCCTTTTTTTTCTTTGGCTTTATTTTTAACCCAGAGCAGCTCCTCGTTTTAGCTGCCTCAGGGGAGAAGATGCTCAACCCCACCACCCCACCAGGGTGAAAATCCAGCTGCAGGGCGAATCAGAGGAGGTTATTTCATTATTATCACCCATGACACATCACCAGGGAGATCTGATTTCGTTATTCTCATCCTCTGGAGACCTGAGGGGACGCTGAGCTCGAGGTCTCGTCCCTCTGATTCATTGCTGTGATGCAGCTGGAACCCTTTGCCCTGTGACTCACAGCATTCGTGGAGAGAAGAAAGAAGCCTCCGTTTCTTTTTCAGCTGAGGGAGCAGAAATGCCCCTTTGCTTCCTTCCATCCTAAGAAAAACTCATGTGGGACAAGGACAAAACAGGAAGGGATCTCTCAGGGCAGCTCAGCTCATTTTCTGGGTGCTCCCGGGGTTCCAGAAAACTCCCTGGCTTTTCCTGGATGGCCCCTTTGGAGCTGGAGACTTTTCCTCCCTGCTGGGAGCCTCTGATGACAAATCTGCAGCTGAAATACACCCTGTTCTCACTGCCCTTTTGGATTAAAAAAAAAAAAAAAAAAAAAAAAAAGGTGTTTGTGCAAGGCGATTTCTGAGGTTATAAAAATATCACCCGGAGTCTCAAAGCGCTTCCCAAGCCCTGCTTTTCCTTCTGCATCTTCCCCGAGGGAAAAACACCACAGGCTGGGTTTGCTCTTGCTTCAGGGCCCCCCAAAATAATCTTTTCTCCCAAGTGTGGGCAAGTTGTCTTTATTGAGAAGATTCTTGATGAGAACATTTGGTATAATGAGGTGGTGGAGACCCTTGAGCAGGCGGCAGCGATGTCCAACCATTAAATCCCTCCTGGTGGTGATGGAAAATTAATTTTGGGGTGGACACCCACCCCAAAAGAGTGGAAGGGGCTGAAGGACACTGGGACCCATCACCGCTCTGTTTTCTGCTGCCCTGGAGCTCCTGGCTGCTGTCAGGTTGAGGATTTCTCACCTCTGAGTCTCTCACCTGAAGGTGAGAATTGCAATTACGAACAGGAGCTGAGAAATTACAACACCCTCCGCCCCTCCAGCAATTTGCTATGTTGCCTACCAAAAATAGCCATGATTCCTGGGATTTCGGGTCCTGGGGTCACCTCCAGGTGGGCTTGGGCTGTTGAAAAGACGACAGTTCTAATGTTGCTGCTCGTGTTTCACCATCCTGGACGAAAAAGGAAGGTGGAAAGAGGAGAAAAGCAAGAAAAACTCTACACAGCTGCATGGAGAGGCAGAAAAATCAAGAGTATTCAGATCCAGAGCTGTTATTTTGCTGTGGTTTCTCCTCTCAGAGCTGATTTAGGTGGCAGAAGGATCCACTCAGCTGGAGCACCTTTGAGAGCCCCTTGGCTGTGGCGCGGAGGGCTGGAGAGCAGAGGGAGCAGATCAGCTCCGTGCTCCCAACACCGACTCCCAGGGATGTTGGGAAATTGCCTCACCTCTCTTGGCCTCATTTTTTCCCCTCCTTCTCTTGGAAGCAGCTGCACGTCATGACTCGGTGGCGTGCAGGGGAACCTGGCAGTGAAGATGTTCAACCTCAGCACTGCTGACTGCTGGCACCTCGGGAGGAAGCTGCAGCAGCAGTGGGGTGATGCCTCAGCTTTTGGCTTTCATGTTTTTCATATTCTGTGCTGCTTTAGTGTGTAATTCTGGGCTTCGTATCAGGGGATGCTGAGCTCTCTGCGCAGAGCAGGGAGACAAAACAATTCCTGCTCCAGCCAAGGGACCAAGGACCTCATTGCTCTCTACAGCTTCCTGAAGGGAGGTTCAAACAGCTGGGGTCGGTCTCTTCCATGGGGCAGCACTGACAGAACAGGAGGACACAGCCTCAAGCTACGTCTGGAAAGGTTTAGGTTGGATATTAGGAAAATATTTTTCACTGGAAGAATAATAAAATACTGGAATTGTCTTCCTAGGGAGGTGGTGGAATCACCATCTCTGGATATGTTTAAAAAAAAGACTGGACTTGGCACTTGGTGCTATGGTCTGGTTGTGGTGTCAGGGCATAGGTTAGACTTTATGATCTTAGAGGTCTCTTCCAACCTCATTATTCTGTGATTCTGTGACAAATGATCCAAACCTCAGCCCAGGAGCACAAACACCGTGGGCTGGAGAGGGAAAAACAAGCAGGATGGGACTGCCTGGGCTGGAGCTGGAATGGGACAATGAACTCCAAGGTGCCAATGGAGCAGAACTGATCCCAGGGAGAGCCCCGGGAGCGCTCGTGCATTTTGGGACCATTTTGGGTCATTTGGGTGCAGCCCTGGCTGGGCTCTGGTGCTGCCCAAGGTGGATCCATGGAGGAGATCCTTGAATAAATCCCTAATTTATTCTTTAGGTCTGTCCAGTCTCTGTTCTGGGTCAATCCTCACAAGGTATCAGGGTGATGCCCTGTTTGGGCAGCCTGGGTGGTGCCTTTTGGTACCCAGGTGAGGTGGCTTGGGCAGGAAAAGTTAATTTTTTTTTCCTGTCAAAGAATCAGAGAATGGGTTGGGTTGGAAGGGACTTTTAATATTCCTCATTCCACCTGTGCCATGGTCAGGGACACCTCCCACCATCCCAGGCTGCTCCAAGCCCTGTCCAGCCTGGCCTTGGACCCTCCCAGGGATGGGGCAGCCACAGCTTCTCTGGGAAATATCTTCCAGGGCCCATATCTTTGCCTGAGAGCCCCTTAACTTCAAAATTGTAACAATTCAGAGGGAGGGAGTTTACTTTTTCCATTTCAGGGGAGACTCCTGCCTTCCTTAGCAGACACCTGTCTGTTCAAACTAAGGCAGCAGCTGTAGAAACACAGCCCTGAGCACACATCTATTGTAAATGCAGGAGAGCCCAATGGGAAGAAATGACAGTGTCTGACTCAATTCAGAAGGCTGAATGATTTCTTTATTATAACTATATTAAAATACATTAAAATACTATATAAAAGGAGGATACTAAAACTACATACTACTTTCTCTAACTCTAACACAACTCCTGGCCCTCTCTGAGAGCCCAGCCCCAGGTGGGTTGGACTGGATTGGATTAGATTAGATTGGATTGGATTGGATTGGATTGGATTGGATTGGATTGGATTGGCCACCAGGCTCAAACAATCCTCACCAGAATCCAACCAAGCAATCACCCCAGGTAAACAATTCTCCAAACACATTCCACATGGGAAAATCAAGGAGCAGAAATAGAAATTGTTTTCTCTTTCATTTCTCTCTGTGCACCTCTGTGAAAAATCTTGAGAGGGAGAGAAATGTGCTTGCCACACCCATCTCCTTTTCGGACAGCCAGCCCTCCCCTCAAAGGGGATGATGAGCTGAATTCACCCGTGTGGGGAGATGCTGAGGCAAATTTTGGCAGATCCTGAACATTCCAAGCTTGTGTTTTCGGAGTGAGGAATAATGTCAGTGCTTGAGCCTGGCTGGGGGGGTTATGCAGCTCCAGGCTGGTGGTTGTGGCTGTGAACTGTTGGTGCCTCCCTCCAAATTCTCACTAAAAACCCAGGTTTGGGTTTTTAGTGCTTTAATGTCAGAGGTAAACGTGTCAGTGCAGCTCCATTGTGGGAGTCCAGGACATCCCTCTGGCTGCCCTGGCAGGTCTGGGACCCTGGCAGGGGTCAGGAACCCCCCTGGACAGAGCCCCCAGAGACACTGGCTGTGATCTCTGTCCATGGAAAAGAGTTTTCAATCTTACAGGATCAATTACAAGTTCTCAGTGTTTGATATAAGTAATAATTAAGTGTGGCACGGGTGCAAAAGTCAAATTTTAGGATTCTAGATGAGGGGTCCAAAGGGGACAAGATGGAGGAAATTGGGTGTGCCTTGTCCTTTTTCTCCTTCTTCATGCCCTCCATGTCTCCCTGTGGTGTTGGCATTTTTCTGTTGGTTCAGGCTGGGGACACACTGTCCAACGTAGGTGACAGATATTGGCACGTTATTGTAAATGCAGCCCAGGGAGTTTCTGGTATTTAATGTTTGTCACATCCCACTGAGGGCAGAGCCCCACACGCTGCCCTGCAGGACAGAGCTGGGCAGGGCAGCAG